ATTGCCTTGGTCCAAACAGCGAAAGGACGGAAAGTCTCGGCATGTCGGCATCCGGCATCCGACCCGTGAGAAACTCACGGCCAGACACGTTGAAATAGGCCAGCACCGTAAAGCGTCTGGTAGCTCCGGTGGCCGGATCATTGTCTTGCGGGAAGTAGGAATCCTGGCGGACCCGATACAAGTGCTGCAGGATCCCCAGTTCTGCTGACCCGAAACAACACCTGTGCCAACCTCTGGGCCTCCAAACCTGATGGTTCAGCCCTCTGATGGTTCCCCTGCTCGGAAGTTTTACAGTCAGGCTGGACCGGTTCATGCTCTGTGAAAGTCTGGTGTGGGGAGTCGCCAGAGCCCCTGTCCTTAAAAGCTAGCAACTGATCAATAAATATGAGCCGGTCTATAGTGACTGGGTTGAAGATAATTACAGTATTGGATGACCACTGGCCACAACCACATGTTTCATAGCTGTTTGTTGTGGAAATCGATAGTTCCATGGGTGGTTCCGGTGGTTCACTTGGCACTTCGAGTCATTTGTTTCATTTGCTCTGGAAAAAGTAAAACACACACACACAGCTCTGCAACTATGCCTGGGCCTGCAACTATGCCTCCCTTTGCTCCCGTCTCCCCGTCTCGAACGAACGGAGACACATCGAGACCCACAGCATGGACAGTCGAGCTATGCCGGTCATGGCATGTGGTGATGACAAACAGCATCCCCAGATGTCCCCCGATGTCCCCCTCCCAGTGACACAGAAAGCCCAAGCACTTTGTGGAGGGCATAGCTGGCTGCTTGTTCGGGATACACCGCAATCCTGGGATCGGTCGAACTCAGGGAGGTCGATGAGGACCAGATGTCCAGATGTCACCGTTCCTTTTGAATGCACAAAAAGCACGGCAGGACATGTTTGAATGTCTGTTTGATAGCCCAGCCCCAGTGATGGGGGGGTTCGAATGCTTGGAACAAAGCGCCTCAAAGACTGGAGTCAAAGCCATTCGCCCCACTTGCTAATCTGAAAGTCTTAGAGATGATGGGAGTCAGCGCACAACGCAACATTTGGCAGGTGGCAGGAGATGCACCGTTCCAGTGCTGGTTTCGGAAGCTGGATAGGTTCGTGACGAAAGGACCATCTGTCAGATCTTGTGGTTGTATTGAACGTTAAACTTGGCTCTCTTGACAGAACCCGATGGCCATTTTGAAGCTCAAGGCTGATACAGCCTCATTTTCAACTTCCATGTTGCTTTCTTTGGAGCCAACCGAAAAACCTTCCTCCGTTTCGCCCTCTACCCCCGAAACAGACTCCCAAGCCACATGGTGGCTGGCTGCATGCGAAGCCTTGTGCCTGCCACCGCCTGAAGCTCCACAGGAAGGCCTCAGGACGCCGTCGGGCCGGTGGTGGAGTTGGCTGTCCAGGAACCTGGAAAAAGAAACAAATCTTCCGCAGATTTGAGGATTTACCCAGTTCGGGAATATTTTAAAAAAGAAACACTCGTGCCAGGGGATTGACCCAGTTCTGGAAAATAAAAAATATCCACCAGAACTCTCTGCACAAACAACGCCGGCGGCCTGCCAGCATCTCCGAGAGCTCGGTGAGCGCTGGCAACTTCGGCCGCAGCTGTGAGAGCTCCTGGAGGTCTAGCCAGGCTGACCGCGACCTCGATGGGATGGGGTGGGTGGCATAGGAGATGGCCACAAAGGCTACAAGTTGGATGTTCTTAATATATATTGTATGATATTGTATGTATTGAGTATTGACTGTATGATGCAGGATAAACTTAAAAAAAAAAAAAAAAAAAACTTAAAAGTAGAAAGGATATAGACCCATGCGGATTGGAGGGGTTGGAAGTGCGTGCCCATCTGGAGTGAGGCGACAACACTGGTTGGATCACAAACGAAACGATGCAACTACAAGGGGTTGAATGTCATTCGACGGAAACCTGCTGACTTTTGTGTTGCTGTTTGTCTGGGACGCTAAGTCACTGAGTCAGTAAGTGACGCCTTGCCTGGTTTGCTTCCCGGTAGAGTGTTCTCTCGTCAGATTTCATTGCGCGTCTTCATGTGTAGGAAAGGATGTGCGAGCCTAACACCACAGAGACAGGTGTACACCGGTGATGTTCATTGGAACGATGATGTACACCGGCTCGTACTCTACGTGGGAGGCAATGTGGGCGTATGGGAAAACAATAAAACTAGTCTTCGAGCTTTAAAATTTGATGGATAGACTAGACGCTAGACACCCCTCCAAGCTTGGGCGTCTTCCCAAACGCGAATATTCGGTGGTCTAACAGCCGGCAGAAAACCATGTGATACCAATGTGTTAAGGAACATAGAAGGTGCATATCTTGAAGTCACAAATCACAAAACAGGTTCACACATCAACAACCCCTCCTAGGTTCACTCCCATCTCAAATCAGTTGGGCACCCTGTCTCTTCGAGGCCGAGCTTCTGGCGCCAAAGGAACTTCCCGCAAATGCTCAAAGAACACACCAACTATGTGTAACGATTCGCCAAACCATGCCAAACCCAGAAGCCAGAAACCAAACATCCACTGACAGAATCCCTTTCCAAACTTTCTCTCTTGGCTTTGTCCTGGCAATCTCACATACCCCCAATGCTATGAAGCTATAGGTCTTCCAGCGACGTCCTCTCGTCCTCTCCGTTTCGCCCAAGTCGCCCACGGTTGCAGCGGTTGGTGGTCACTGTGGTGGCACAGTCCGCATCCAAGGCTCGACACTCCTGCGTTCGCACCGGTCCAGCGGCCGGCACTGCGCTTGGGTGACGGGTCTCCGAAGTCTGGAAACGGCACGGATCTGGTTACGAAGACCCTCTTTCTACCCAATTCAGGCGAGACGGGTCAGCCCTGGTCAGTCGAACTTGGATGTTTCCACCAGATTCTCAACTTGGGGGAAGCATCAGGGTATCTCTTCAGCCACTCTGAGATTGTGTGCTGTGTTCGCTCCGCTCCTCCAAGCATCGTGCGGCCAAGTTCGGATCGAAGGCCCCCTCCAGGTGGCAGAAGCCTGGCCGCGCCAGTGCGCTTAGCACGTACACCGGCAAAGGCCAAATGCCAAGCACGTACCGTTTTTTGAGATGAACAATTAAAGACTGTCCGACAATCGAACAAAAACTCATCAAAGCATCCCTGAAAGGGAATCCTCTGCTCACAGATGAAAGGACAAAGGCGTGACCACGTGTTGCCTTCTTCGAAACAAGCTCCTTCTTTGCCGGGGCTTCTTTTTTCATGTGCCCACCTTCTTGGCGCAAAGGGGACATGTCGTGCTCCTTGAGAAGATCTTTGGCCCAGGCGTGCTGCCAAAGCTGAGGTTCCTGACGCTTCGCTGGCTGCGAGCCACCGTTCGCTTGGCCAACCCGAAGCCTCGTCAGACGATAGGGAGAGGAGGTGAATCAAACAGTTTCTCAAAACGAAGGCAAGACACGCATGCCTTTTCCATGTGATCCTTAAATGGCATGTGTTGCGTGACAAACATCTGACGATCTGGCGCGACAGACATGTTATCCCAGCCAGACCGTATCCCCCATCACGACCCTTGGCGGACGGATCAGCAGGGACGGATTGCAAACATCCAGACTCGATTTCGAGCAAAATCTGGGATGGCCAGCCATGGCATGTGCCATAAGGCAACTGAATGACTCTCGTCTGCACCGTGTCCATGAGGTTTGGAGGGAAAACTTCTTGTCCATGTGTCGGCATCGTGCCGTGCGCCGCGCATGTTTGAGGTGGGGATATTGGAGGTGTCCCGGGCCGCGGGCCCCCCCCGGCCAGACGGCTGCAATGGTTCGGCTTCGTGGGTCGAATCAGACCGCTGGCTTCCGTGGTCCCATGAGAGGACGGATGAGCGATGCAAGCGATGCAAGGGCTGCCCCTTGCTACAAAGGGGGCTGCGTCCAGCAGAAGGTTCGACCACGGACCGGCCAGGTGTTGGTCGGTCCGATGAACTTTCCAGTTGCGAGTTGCGCACGGCCAAGGACAAGCAGTGACTGAGAAACTGCACCATGGAGTCCTTGATGATGCGTGCCAGTCTTGTTCCAATATTCCGAAAACGGACAGCTCTAATTACTGTATGTGAGCAATCCTTGAATCAAAGGACAAGCTTTCCTTTTGCGCATTTTTGGGTAGCAATCCTTGGGTTTAGCCAACCACATCATCCAAAGAATTCAAGACATACTTCTTGGGGTGAGCATTCCTTGAATCAAAGGCGCCAAGCTTGGCCTGCTTCACGCCTTCGATGGCCCATTCGTCCAGTCCCGATTGCTTCAGCAAGCAGAAGTGGATCGGCTGCTGACTCTGTAGGATCCGAAGGAGTCAACCGAACAACGTGTGCCCAGACACTCCATGGGACTGCCATAGGACTGCCTACATTAGGGTGGTTTGGGGGGTCAATTGATCGGCATATATGGCAGTCCCATGGAGTGGGGTGTATTATAGGGAGAACCCCCTCGACCCCCTACAGTAAGGGGCGGCTTCTGTTCGTCCTCCGGTTCTAAGGGGGTGTCCGGTTCGGTCGCAGCGAAGACAGGAACCTGACATCTAGTCCATCCTCGACTCAGTCGTCATCCCTTGCTATTTCAATGGCAAATCACCACAGCAACGTTGTTTCCAAGAAGCGAGGACATGGTCTTTGGCCAGTACAGGCCCACACCTGAAACCTCCACCCAGTCGATCGACCGTCACGGTCGCCGGTTCGCTCCGCGTTGGTGCTCCTGGAAGCTGGGGCTCATCGTCGCCCGTGTCAACAAGGAGAGCGGGGCAGCACTACTGGGCCGCCCGCACCTGCCACCGATGGAAAACGTGGTGGAAGGCGTGGATTCGGATCAAGCTCGGAAAGCAGTGGAGACGGTCAGGATCACAAGCAGATTTAGTTTGTGGATTAATACTTGAAGTGTGGTCCCCTGAATATACACTGTGACATCTCTTGATTGGCTCAAAAGAGTAACATAGCAACCACCAAAGATTACATGATCGACACATGTGCAAGTATTCTCCTTTTTTCAACTGCCCGCATAGTGCAGACTTGCAGCTATACATTGTGTCTCACAATCTCTCTCACCTATGCCGCCAACCTGAATTAGTGACGCTCAGCTCGTAACGCTTCTGCCGCGATTTCTGCAGCAAGTCGGGAATCGATCGGCATCTGAGTCAATGAATTAATGCACAAAAAACCACACAATTCGTGCAAAGATCTGCTCTTTACATCTGGAGGCTGTCTTTCATTTGGGAACGCAGCAAGGACTCAAACCTGGATCCAAGCAAACCGGCTCGATTTTGTTCAGTTTGAAGGATGAGATGCTGTCAAAACTGGCATGGACAGTCATGTGTCAGTGCCATGTCGTTGGATGCAAGCTCGGTGTCAACAAAGCTCATCTGTTGCTTCTCATTGTGAACGAACAAACACCACCCAGCTTTCACGTTCCATGCGGTTTAAACCCTAGTCATCCGAGTCGGGGGATGGTTGATGATTGAAGTTGAGGGTTTGGATTCCAACAACATCTCAGTGTCAACACCTCGTTTGGACGAGGCGATGGAGCAACCCAACCAATCCGCACCTCTGGAGTGGAGCTAGCAAGGCCTCTGCCTCATCTCTGTGGGCGGGTGCCCCTGCCAGGCGCTTTCGCAAAGTCACCACGGAGCTCACCAACTCCTTGAGGCTGTTCCTGGGCGGAGGCTGGCGGAGCAGGCTGGCGTCAGGGCGTTTTCAGCAGGGAAGAGACCCACAGAACCTGTTTTCAGGGACCAGACTGGAAGACTTCGGTTCCTCTACAAATTCGCGGTGGTTTGGGGTTCCAGTCGTGACTCTTCCAGAGTGGAATTCTCCGGCCCCTTTCTGTTGTGTCTCTGGGCCAAAAGGCGGCTTCAAGGCTGTGGGAGACGTGGCTCTGACAGCGGATGCAGGCACTGCTGTTGACAGTCTAGGGGTTCGAACCACATGCCACATCTTCAGGCACCTGTGGAACAGCTTGTGCGTTTTTGGAACTCTGACATCGGACACTGGAGCCAGGCTCGATCTGGAGCCGCAAACCAACCAGTGTGGCACATCCACTCACTCAGTGACGAACATCCACTGCAGGGGGATGGACGCTGCCTGAGGTCGCCTTAAACGGATGGTGCCCAGTGCCCCTGAAAGAATTGCTGGTGAAAAAGATGGCCACCTATGAAGCACATGCTCACCTGCAAAACCAGAAAGACCAAATGTGATCAGGTCTGAGGTGGTGAATGTGGATTTGTGATGCAATGAAGGGCAGTGGTAGCGTGCCAAACGATTAACTTCAAGCGATGGCTGATGTGTGCTGTGGTGCAAGGAATTAAGATGCCCGGTTCCGCACTGAGAACCTATATGCGTACTTGCTTGCCTGTCTGCCTGTCCGCCTGCCTGCCTGCCTGAGACAAAACATATCTTAAAGTTTACTCTTCAGCAACCTCCAACAGAATTCATCTCTAAATACCCATGAGTCCACACATTAACCCCAGGCCAGTATGTGCGCTTTCACCACTGAGGCCAGTCAACCCGAAACCATGTTTAGATGCTCAAATCGCTGGTGACAACGATTCTTCCAAACCAAAAGGTTTGGTGGTGGAAATCGCTAAAAATGGTTCTATTTCTAAAAATGTCCTGTGAAAGGCTGGATGCGAAAGCAATCTGCAAAACACCAACTGCCCACCCACCGCGCCGCCCGGAACGCTCTCCGAGCCACGGTCGCTGCACGCGGTCCACGCCCCGCTCCAGTGCACCGGAACGCGGTCCGCGGCAGGGGGTCGGCAGGGAGGCGAGGCCAAGCACCTGGAGCTTCTTCTGGGCTTTCCTAGCTGGGGAAGCTCCAAGTGTTCGAATGTTTTGAAACTCTAGTAGCAAGAAGCTACTAGTAGCTTCTTGGGCATCGCTACTAGGAACAAGTGCATCGCTACTAGGAGCAAGAAGCTACTAGTAAAGGGAGATAGGAAATGATAGGAAACCCAATTAGTTAGTCCATTGGTGTCCCCTTTTACCAGGACTCCATGTGGGCAGGGTTCTGCAATTCGGACGCCTGGCTGGAACATCAGGCGGCGAAGTCAGCTGGGAAGGTGATGGTTGGTTGCCAAGTCTCCGCTTTTGTAGCAGTCTCGAGAGTTGTTTTCCTAACTATCCTACGAATCATGGCCGTAAAACCCTCCAAAGCACCCAAAAAAAAGACTTACATACATGGCACGGGTCATTTGTATATATACATGGCCATGGCTGTCAAAACAGGTGTCCCCAAAGCCCCACAAAGAGACAACCCCCGGCGTCATATTTTTGAAGCCACATCCACATGAAAACTGATCTTGAAAAGAAACTTCGCTTGCTGCTTCCCAGGGATGCTTTTTCCAGCGCATCCCGGGGCTGCAGAATCCGTCAACCTCCTTCGTGCTAAGGATCTTAGGTTGCAAGTCAATCACTTGCCACATCAATGACCAGTTATGGCTTACGGAATTCACGGAATTCCTGGGTCAATGACCATCATTCCTGGGTCATCACGGGGCCCTGGGTCTCTGCGTCCCTTCACTCTCCGATCGCCCGCTCCGACGGTGGTGCCGGAGCCGCACCTGCGTCGCGAGCCCGTTGGAGGCTCGAACGCCGACTCCGCCCGCGCTGCTGCTGGACATGCCACTGAGGTCTAACGTCGACTCCGCGGGGACCGCAGGAACCTCGGATTTTCCCACAACCTGAAGGCCAAAGGCTCAGGAGTCGGTACTCCAGTCCAATCTGAGGTCTTGCTGGATCTGGGCATTTTTGGTTCATCGATGTTGTTCATCCTGAAGGCCAGTTGAGAAAAAGGAGTCGAGAGAAGGGATCAAACTTGCAAAGAATCCCTCAACGCCCTGCGGATGTGGTTCATCAATTTCTCTGTTTGTTGGGTGTTCAACTTTTCTTGTGCAAAGCCCTTTTGACTGTAGAAGCCTATGATCTTCAAAACCAAGCCACTCACCATGGAGAAGCCTGTTAACTCCCAAATACTGTTGAGGACTTTATGATCCACCAATTGTATGGAAACTTGGCCATTACAAACACAGCTTACAAACTCACCGTTTTTAAGACAGTACCAAAGTCCGTATACGGTTTATGTTCATGCTGAACTTGTTAGCATCGCTTTTGAAGTATATCACGTTGCTGGGTTCGTGACGTGCATGGGTAGATACATTGGACCTGTGTCACTCCTCATTGAAATGTTCATGGGTGATCTTTTTTTGCACTGTTGATGTTGCGTCTGATCATCTGACATGTGCGAAATCTGACTTACATAAATGCTACTTAAATTAATCTAGATACATCAAATCTGGCCTAAAGTGAAACAAGTTTAAAGATGGTTCTTTTGAAGAATATCCTTCCTTTCCATCCTTGATAATAATATGTGTCTTTCTATCATCTGGATCGCTACCTCATATCGTATTGTACATCTCTCATCTTCGAAAAGACTCACCTTATCCAGAACCTCCTCTAGTTTACAAGGATGTTACTGTATCCCTTTTACCATACTCATCCTTGATAAGACTTTGACTGTGACTGTACAAATACATGTAAAAAAAAGCATGGTGCTCTCCATTAAGGAAGATCCTAATAAATACATAAAAGGTTGTTTCTGTGTAAGGGTCACAATGTTGGAAGTTCTTGTCAAGAGATCTTTTGTCTGCAAAGGTGTCATCTACAATCAACAACCTATCCAAGAAGGCAAGAGCCCCTGTTTAAGCAAAAGGAATATATAGTGACGGACAATTACTTAGAACAGCAATCGTTTTCAAAGTTGAAAACCTCCACACTTAGAACGTCAGGTAAAACCCCACACTTAGAGCAGCAAAGTTCGCAGCGGAACAACACCACACTTAGAACATCTTGGTGAATGCTCTTAGTGGTGCAATTATGGAGATACGTATATATACCAATATAAATATATATATATAGTTATATATACATACAGTCACACACACTTCTGAGTATTCTATAAGGTTCCTTGCTTGCCCACATGTTGACTAAACAAAGTGACGGACAAATGTTCAAGAACAAAAGCCCAAAGATGTTCTAAGTGTGGGGTTTGTTCTAAGTGTGGGGTTGTTCTGGGGTCAACTTGACATGTTCTAAGTGCAAATTGGCATTGTTCTATGTGTTCACTTAGAAGAAAAAAGTGTTTCAAAGTTTTGCTCTAATTCGTCCGTCACTATAACTGAAATTAGAGAGCAATACATAATGACGTATGTTGCGATGATAGCCATAGCGGCTAAGCAGCTAACCAAACCTTTTGTCTCTGGTCTAGCTCGTTCTATATATACCTGAAGCATCCTTTGTAACACTTATGTCTGGCGAACCATGGTTTGGAGCACTTATTGGAAGTTTGAGCGCTAATTGAGGGTATGTACACTTTTCAGGACTATGAGCGCTTTTTGGTGTTGTAAATTCTAAAGCCTACTGGTTCCTGACCAGTGTCCTTATCAACCCTTGTGGGCCTTTGGGGGCCCTATGGACCGGGTGGAAATCCTATATGACCTCTCCTAGTATGTGCAAATGAAACCACAAAGGTTTGGTTCTAACCTTCTGGGCGTGCTTTACAACAATTTTTCCAAAAAGGGTGCCCGCAACTTGGGCGCAAATTCCCGCAACCCGGGTGCAATTTAAAAAAGTGGCGGATGGCTTTTTAACTAAATCTTTTGTGTTGATACTGAAGATCAAAGAAAGGGGTTGCTGGCTGCCGCTTCGTAGTGTGTGAGCGTGTGTTGTGTGTGCATGGGATGGGTGCCAGCATGTGGCAGGGGAATGGACTTGAAGACCACATTTAGGTGGAATGAAGCTACATCTGACTTTCAGTGGTACGCTTTTCCAAGGCATGAACGCTTTTTTTGATGATGTGCAGTGTTTTTTTCTGTCACTTTTTTCTGCTACGACGGAGGGTTCAGGTATATATCATATATCTTAATTCCCAATCTAGGGAGCCCCGTGGTGCAGGATTTGTCCATTACTAGTCACATATCAATAGCATCACTGCTGCAAGTCGACGCCCACATGCGTGGTTCAGTGAAAGTGACTGTGACTGGAACCAGTGCAGAAAGCCCAGACTTGCAGCATCCTTCCAACATCTCCCCACTTCCTCAAACTTCACCATACTCCCTGCCAGAAGGCTGTGGTCGGTGGAGGAAACAGTGGCTTTGGCGGCAGCCGAGGCTTTGCACCGCAACGACCACAGGCGCAGAAGAGGCGGCGCCCTTCATGGCGGTAGCGATCCCCACGGAGGTTCAATGGATTTTGCCCCACACGAGACACGACACCTCTGCTCCCACACCGGACCCGGCCGCCTCGCTGCGCACCCTCCGAGGCGCAGCGCGGCACCGCATGGCTCCCGTCGCAGCGCTCCTCCCGCGGCCCCACGCGCTGCAGGTCGGACGCTGAACGGACTTGGGCGCCTGTGAAGGGAGCAGGGAGCAGGGCGAGGGAGAGGGAATTGGGATTAGTGGCGATTTCACTCTCTGGTTCGGCACAGCAGCCCGGTGTAGGAATCGATCATCAGTCATAGCACTCGTCACCTGCCTGTCATCGCTGTTATGATATTATTGGCATGTGGTTTGCTTCATTGGGAACCCAATACTTTAGTTTCGAACATTTTGGGATTTGCAAGGACCCACACGAGATCATTCACAACCTTTCCAAAATAAATGATCTGATAGCTGTTCTCACACCACTGAAATACAGAAATATGATAGCCTCTCCACACACCCGAAATCAACCAAACGCATTCCAACCAAACACCTCTCTTGATTGAAATTTGCACCCCAAACAAAAACATATAAAGGGATCCCTCAGAATTCGCTTTTCCGGCCAGTCCTCACAGGTCCTCACCGCGCCTACCAAACTGCCACGCGCCCACTTCCCCAGCGGTGCTCCACTTGGAGCGCCCGCAGCACTTTCGCCGCCCGCGGGTGGAGCGAGGTCACCCTCCACCACCGAAGTCTCTGCCCAGCGAGGGGGACTCGGCGAAGAAGCCAAGAGCCGCCTGGGAGAACGAACGACCATCGCCCTCCACTTGGAGACCGGGATCTTCAGCTGTAGGGGTCGGGTATCGGTAAATGAGGCTATAGCTTCTTGTTACTACTAGTAAGGCCCTTGCTACTAGTAGCGATGCACTTGTTCCTAGTAGCTTATTGTTTTTATTCCATGTAGTGATTGAGTTTGGTACCCCTCAACTGAATCAATCCCACGACGTCACGGTCATCACCCGCCCAGCCTGAGCTCTTGAAGACCCTCGGTGCGAGGCTCGCCCGGGGGCTCCTGACAGCGAACATGAGAAGAGTTGGGTGTGTAAGGCCTGTCCCTCCAAACAGGTTTATGTGATGTGTCTTTTCATCCAGTTCCTCTACTACACCTCTCACATGTTGCTCAAGCATGTGCATTGACCACACTCGCTCATGCGATGTTTGGGTACCTCAACCAAAGTTGATTGGCCAAAAGCTGTGCATCGGTTTAACTTCCTTCAGCCAAGTTTTGTTCCTCCATCAGCTGTCTTGTTTGGGGTACCCATGTTTGAACTAATTTGACACCCCTGTAAAACTGACACAGAATCAAGCATCTCAGTGAAGCATTGATTGCACTGGTCAATTACAAGCATCAAAACACACAAACACACAAAATTGTCTTCAAGACCTACAGGCAGATACATACACCTCAAACCTTCCATTTGTCGTCACGGTCCATTACCTACAGGAACAGGCGTAATGAAATCACACGGGTGGGTTCAACCCACCCACAGACCCACCGACCCACCCATAGCCCATGTGCCCATGCGTAGCCCAGACCCACTCGCCTTCGCCTGCGCTGGTGCAAATCTCGGTCGGGTCGGAGCTTGTCGAGCTGTGTATGGAGCAACCGTCTTCGTCTCCACCATCTTCTCCTCAAACACGAACACAAAGAACGGGTGGCCCCAAGAAAAATCTCTAATTATACTGTATTTTAACTTTAAGCGTACCCAATTCGAAGTTGTATCTCCACCAGAATTAAAACACAAAATGTGCAGTGTTGCACCCTTGTGGTGACAGTCAGTCAATGGCAGGCTTTGGCTGGTAGCCTAGGCCTGGGCACGCTTGTGAAATCAGATGTAAGCAAGTACAGAAAATAGCAACAGCATTCAACAGCAGCTAAGCCTGCTAAGACGAGAAAATGCTTCGAGTCTTAGTTTATGCAATCCTTGGTGCATGTACCGCAAAAATAGACCTCAGACCTTACTGTTGAAAAATAATCAACAGGCAAGTGAAAGGAGTTGAAGGGACATAAAAAGGCACTAAGGTTTCAATGGTTTCAAGCTTCAAGGACTTGTTCAGGATTTGGTAGAAAAATGAGAATCATTATAAGGCTTGGTGGTTTAAAAGGCTTGGATGTTCTTGGCTTTCCTGAGGGGAACCCTTCGCCACCAAATGGTTCCAATGTAACAAAAAGGGTGCTATGAAGAAATTAATAGTCTTGATGGGTTTTTCCCACACCATTGAACCTCAGATTTGTTCAAGAAAAAGGATGCAAGAAGCCAGGTAGTTCAAGAATAATTGAATATTGGTACCACTCTAATTCAATAGGGAAGTGCAGTTTGGAAATGTCATGTTGGCTAAAATCAAGTTAGACAAGTATTGGCGTCGGTTGAGATCGAAATGCACGAGTATTGCGTTTGTTCAGACAAAAAAACATAAGTGTTTACATACTTGTTGAGATCAGATTGCCTGAGTATTGGATCAAATTACGCGGCAATTGGTGGATGTTTGCTAGAGTATGCTGGACTTAATGTTGCTTTATCATTGACTATAGTAATACTCGTAGTTTGTTATGTTGGTGTGAACATTAGTGTCATTCATACAACGCACAGGAGGCTTGACAATTGGTGTTTCTTCTGTCACTCACAAGTCCCTCGCCCCATGCATTCTCAATGGACTCGTGGGAAACCAGAAGGTGTTTCTGATGATTATTTGCATTGTCATGATGTATTTGTGAAGCTAAAATAGATGTTCCGAAGATTGAGGCAAATACTACCTCTCAGGACTTTGGCTTACTAGAAGCGCTTGTCCTCTCGTGTCAACATCTCCCTTCGTATCCTTAACTAGGAGTCTGCATCTCAACAATCCCTGACTGCTGCCTTTCCATCCCCCATCCCAAGCAATCAAAGCGTCTTCACTCCGTGCACTGAACCAGCCAACGCCGCCCCTGGACACTGCCATTGACGCAGCCCGTGCCCCCCGCACGGAGGACAAGCGCGGAGCGTCGCCGCGTGCGGCGCCTTTGCCGCGGGGCTCCGGGCTGCCACTCAACTTCCGCGCGGTGGCCAGGCGCGTTCCAAGGCCTTCGACGCGCGACAGGAGGTTGGGGGGCCAGTACGGAAAGTGCCAATTCAATAGCCGAATTGACAGCTGTCTGCTTGGAAGACTGGATCAACTTGCCGAAGAACACCTACAAATCGTAGGGGTGACACAACAAAACGAACACACACTTATGGATATGCGTACTGACGGACAGCGGTGCCACACGCCGGCCTAGGGTACCATTTCCTAAGAGTACAAGTAGGAAACCACTGGATCCTGGAGGTCTTCAAGAGGAAGGAGGGCCCAAAGCGGAAGATCGAAGGCGGCGAGCGGGTCGAACAGGTTGACGGCGGTCCGCTCACATCTGCCAATGCAATAGCCCTTTACCAAAATCTTAAAATTCAAGCAGGTAGACAGAGCTGATCAGGCTCTGCTTCCAGCACAAGTGGATAGCTTCGTTGGGTGCAGTCTCCACTGTGCTCTGCACCCCCCTGCTGAAAAGAAAAAACCACAATCCAACGGGATCCCTGTGACTACAAGGGGCACACACACACACGCCTCCCCAAAGGGAGGCAAAAATTAAGGCTAGGACGAAAGTGCAAATGTACGCGCCTCAAGGACAAACGGGTGAAGACATGAGAAGGAGGACGAGACGGAGACAAAAGTGTGTGGTTGCAATGAAAGAGAAACCAAGTGCACAGGGACAACCGATGAATCCCACCTCATTGTCGAGACCTGGGCGACCTAAAACCTGAGTGTGCAAGTAGATGTGCGCGTACAGACTAAGGCCCAGACCGTTGTGCGCGCAAAAGAAAGAAAGGAGTGAGATGAAAGGACATGAAGCAAGGGAAGACATGAAAAGAAAGAAGAGAAAGAGGTGTGTGAAGGGGAAAGAATGAAAAGGGAACCAAAGGGAGGGGACGGGCACCAATGAAGCCGAACCTCATTAGAGAACCTATGCAAACCTGGTTGACAATGTACATTCTGTGTGTGCATCTGAGGTGGCGATGGGTCCCAACGGACCCTAGATTGCTTTGGCCGCTGCGGCCACGTACGCCGTGCCGAGATGGCTGGCTGCTTTGACCGCTGCGGTCACGTAAAGGCATGAGCCAGCTTGGAATTCCAAAGATGGGACGAACATCCAAAATTCTTGTGGCATAAGCCAGCTTCGCCCGCTATGGGCACTTACGTTTCCGAAGCAAGGGAAACAACGACAAACCCTCGTTCGACGGGTCCACGGGAGGCACTCTACGGGCTCATCCCGGGTTGGCAAAGGGCCAAACACACTTATGGATATGCGTACTGACGGACAGCGGTGCCACACGCCGGCCTAGGGTACCATTTCCTAAGAGTACAAGTAGGAAACCACTGGATCCTGGAGGTCTTCAAGAGGAAGGAGGGCCCAAAGCGGAAGATCGAAGGCGGCGAGCGGGTCGAACAGGTTGACGGCGGTCCGCTCACATCTGCCAATGCATTAGCCCTTTACCAAAATCTTAAAATTCAAGCAGGTACACAGAGCTGATCAGGCTCTGCTTCCAGCACAAGTGGATAGCTTCGTTGGGTGCAATCTCCACTGTGCTCTGCACCCCCCCTGCTGAAAAGAAAAAACACAATCCAACGGGATCCCTGTGACTGCAAGGGGCACACACACACACCTTTTGAGGTCTTGGTGCGGCGAGAACGTGTTTAAACAAATGCCCTAAAATATTCAATAGTCCTCCCATGATATTATGACACATGAATGACGTCACATGAGCATGAGCATGTCAGTTGCATCTCACTCAAAGCTTCCCTCCCCCCTTCGTGAATCGGGAGTCCGTGGGGCGAGGCCAGCGGGCGGCGGACTTCCCGGTCACTCTGCCGACTCACCTGGCGGACCTGGGGGCGGTCTGTCTCGGGGCGCGCGGCTGGCTGCGGTAAGGAGGATTCCAAGCACCATGGTACCAGCTAGAAGCAATCTTGAACATGTTGAAATGCAAAGGTCCACTTTTCTTTGGAGGGTTAACGAATGGAAGTGGTTTGGGAGCACCTGCCCCATCGTTGGGAGTTTAACAACTGTTGGAGTGACACGTGGGTCAGGCCGCACAGACAAGATTCCAGGTTCGGGTGTTGCAAACGTTGAACCCAAGCTGTCATCTGGGGTGTGAAAATCTCATGCACTCTAGTAATGGTAGAGGGAGGCCCTTTTCCAAGGAAAGGCTTGGCTTAGCGGGAAAGCGGAGCTGCATGTTTCCGGATATCGACTGCCAGTCGTGCGAATCACATGACATATTGTTGGCGAAGGCACAGCTATATCATATCCCATCAAACCATTCTACTGACAAGAAAGAACACACCTACAAATCTGTAGATGATTGTAGGTTAATGTCGGTCTTGTTCTCTTAGTTCTCAACGGATCTCCTGCACTTCCTCAACATCTTCCACCACACTCTTCGGCCTGCTTCTCTGGAGCCCGCCAGCTCAACATGGTCCCATCCAACCAACCTGGCCAGTGATTGGTTGGCTGAGGGCTAAGGAGAGTTCACTCCAGGTAGTCAGCCAGCCAGCAAGGTTCCATGTCGGTCAATGTTTCCAGAAGAGTTCCATGTTTCGAGGAGTCAAAAGACCCGTCTGAGAACTCTTGAATGGTGCAAAAGTTGCCCTTCGAGGTCAAAGACCAGCTACCCAGGCTGGGCCCGCATGATGCCATGAGTGACCAGATGCTGAGGGGTGCCCTCAGGTCTTCTGGTGCCATCCACCTCCGAGATAGAATCCACGTGAACAATTTCAGCGGCCAGGCCACAGGCCAAGATCTGCTCGCCCGGCAAAATCGTCACCCCGCTGGGGGGCTCCAGTTGCCCCGCCGTCAGCCGCGCCCGCGGGGCGAGCCGCGCACCGCGCTCGGTGCTGCGGGTGTCGCACAGAAGGACACCTGCCGCACCCTTCATGACAACGGCTAAGAGCTGGGTGGAGCTGTTGAAGTGCACAGGCCCCACTAGCTCCACCTTGGAAGGGCGCCCGAAGGGGCAGAAAAGGGAAAATCAGGGAAAGCTGTTGGGCGCTTTAAGGTCATAGGAACAGCCCAAAACAGGTGGGTGTGGTTCAGTTCAGCTGGGATCAATACACTCAGTACACAGCACGCCATTGGTATTTATGGTAACCCTGACCACCACAAAACAGGCCAGCCTCTATCATTCTCTCTCTGCAGGCTCCCCGAAAAACACTGACAAGGTCACGGACGGAAAGACTGGATGGCCTGCTTTTGGACGGACCAAAACGGTCCTAAAGCAGTCCTTTGCACTCAGTTCCCTCTCCGGACAGCCCTACAGCTGAAACTCTTCAAGGGACGGCATTGCCTCCAGCCAGCCGCAGCTCGTGCCTGGGAACTGTCACTGGAGAGGACTGGTCTACCCAAGGGAGATCGGTAGATCGGTAGATCTCTTTTCCTCGAACCCAAATCGACTAGTAACAAGGTGCCTTACTGCTAGTAACAAGAAGCTACTAAGTTACATTTATAGTAACCACGTGCATCGCGCCTCCAGTAGCAAGGACGCTACTAGTGGACGCTAACGACGGCCAGCCAGCGCTGAAATGGCCGTGTGGTCGCCCTTTCGGATCCGTCGAAAGACGTCACAGCACGAGGGGCATGTCGGGTCACCATGTCGGGTCATTTGCTCTCTGCTTGATCTAGTGACTCATGATGAAATTCTGGCTGAAACGGATCAAGTGGTCCATGCAAACGCATAAAATGCTGCAAAATCGTGTTACATCACTCTGTTTGCACCAAAATGCTATCCCCATCCTGTTCAGATCTTACCTGACCTGTTCGGTCACCACCTGAGAGCATGTCAAACCGATGAAGGGCGACCCAGATCGACTGGCATGTTCGGATAGGCTAAATAGCTCAGCTTTTGGTCCAAGAAGCTGAAGCTGTTGGTCAAAACATGATAAAACCAGAATGAACGATTCGTCCTAAATACGCAATAAGGCCAGCTTCAAGACCTGAACTTGGCCAGAAACTCCTGCCACGAGACATCCGTGAGGTCCCGTGGAGATGGAGTGGGTCCGCTGGTGTTCTAAACGGAGAATTCCAGAAGCTTGTCCAGACGGGTTTCTGAGGCAGGTGGAACCGGTTCCGACATGTTCCGGCCAAGGCACACCCGGCGACCGGCGCGATCCAGCTCAATGAGCCGCCGATTGCTGCAGGCTGCGAAGAAGACGCCGCGCTGCTCGTCCGCCGCGGCGCCCACCCACTTCGCACCCCGTGCGGCTTGCTGACGAGCACTCCTGTGGACAGTGGTGAAGCCATCCTTGTACCTCAGATCTGAAAGATGTTGGACCCATGAAAAGCGAACCTGCTTTGATTGGCTGACCCAGGAGAAGGCAGAAGGCGAGCCCTGACCTGAATCTGCTGAAAACCGCCTAGGTGCTCCAACTCGCGCCAAATCAGCTGCTCCTCAGTGCAGACCACCATCCGGAAGACCTCACTGGTGCTAGTGGACGCGTCAGGGTCGGCCGTCAGCTCGAGCGGACAGGTCAGCAAGCAGACCTCAGTGGCCCAGCGCTCCTGAGGTGCCCCCGGTTTGATGGGTCGACGTCATGACAGAGTAGAGCAGCCTCTGGTGGAAACACCGGAGACATGTTGGACATGAACTTGAGGAACCCTTTTGGCATTGGGCCTAATTGGTATCTGGATGTATCGGGTACAGAAAGACCATCAGCCAGAGCTGCGTGATGCACCGGCCCTGAATGGTGCTGAAGGTGCAGCAGCAGGCTCGCCTGGCTTCCGTTGATGCCGCCGTCCCCCTGCAAATCGATGTTGAACACCAGGGCACTCCTGTGGGGATGTGACACTCAACCTGGCTGTTCGAGCCAGAGTCTGTCCATGTCTGCAGAATTTCCATGTTCGATCCTAAATCATGAGGAAGTTTCAGAGTAGTTGGATTGGATGGAAATGAATATGACAGGAGAGGACAGTAGATGTCCACTTCACACAAAAAAAATTCCACCAAATCGACCCCGCCCCTGGTCTATCTCGGTCTCCTATCGTGCGACACTGAGGCCAAGATCATGGGCCGCAGACTCGCCGGCTTCCTGAGACTCGTGGCGGTCACGTGGTCCAGGCGGACGGACTGGGGGGGCTCAAGCGTGTGCATCGTCATCAATATGCTAACTCCTCCCCACTCCGGAACCTAGGTTTTAAGTGTCTGTATCCAGATGGTTGGGCAAATAACTAGAGATCTGTGCCAGGTGGTTCACTAACGGTTTACAGATATGATATATAATATATATACAGTTCTGTCCCAGATGGTTTACCATCCAACAAACTGTGAATCATTTGTATAAGGAGGGAAGCAAACTGAACACCAAAACAAACAGTTAATATTATCAATAGAATTTCTAACCAAGGGGCACAAAAAAACTGCAACTATGCAAGAGGATTAGAAATATTATTGTGTTTGAATCTACTGTGGTTGCCAGGCAAGGGTAGAAGCAAACGATCTTGTTGTGTTTGCTCTAACAACGGTTCTTTTGATTGATTGTCAAAAATCTGCAAGAACATGTTTGCGAATACAAGATGGAACTATATATAAACATGAACCACAAAAACTAGTTCGGCACGGGGCAAGCTGGTGAGACCTGTGGCAGTTGTTGGGAAAGGGGAGAGCAAATCAGTCATATCAGCAGGGGTAGAATTAAAGATAGAGAGGGAAACTCTCCAATAATCAGAATATAAACTAGCACTTGGGAATTCAAATCTTTTCAGAGAAACCAAAGAAATTATGGCAAGGTCGCTCGTTGTTAAAAGTGTTCCTGCTTGGCCTTGAAACTGCAAACGGTTTTTTCAATAAATGTTGTTCATATTGAATGACAATTGCAAAGCAATCACATCGAATTTGTATGAATTTGTTTCTCTTGACATGGATATGCTAGATATATTCTTTAGTAAGGACCTGACAGGGTTGGATAATGTTCTACACAAAAACATTTTGCAATTATGGAGGTGCTTTGTGGACAATTTCACTCTTGCCGGGAGAATGAACGTTTGCAAACGATGAGTTGTGACTTAAGAAATAAAAAGCTGTCCTTGGCACTCGTCCCGGCTGGTTCGAGTGTTCCCTGCATGCATGAAGGTCGCATCTGACATCGCTGGACCTCGCTAAGTCAGTACTTATCATGCACAAGTTCGACAGTGACCCGCACCACAAATGGAAAGACCTCTGAAATAGGCCCGAGTCATCCACGAGATATCAAGACCAAATGTTTCTATTGGGTGGGGTGATCTGCTTGCTTCGGAACCTGCGGCTAATCCTCCGGGGCGCGATCGTCTTCGGGCGCCGAAAGCAGACCCGCTGACCCGTTCTTCGGTCTCAAAACAATGCATAAACAATTCGCTGAGGAAGGTCGATGAGTTCACCTCAAAGTTCACCAGGCTTCACAGCGTGAGTTCAGACTCATCAAATGGCGTGTCGTGCTCCCGACCCTCTCCCCATGCTCCATTCCAAGAACGAGTGGCCAGTGGCCAAAGCTCAGGCCAGTCACCTCCGCCGCATGCTTCACCGGCAACACGCCCAGTGGCCGCAGCTCGTGCAGTGTGGCGAACAAGCCTCATACCGCACGATGGCACGGCGACGGCATCGACACCTCAAACACACCACCCTCCAAACACCAATCCCACTCCACACTTCAACATGTTACGTTTCCATACGAGTCCACGCTATTTCACACGAACCTGACACGTCATGCTTCCATCCAAAAACCTCCTCCAAAGCTTCCCGCACTGTCAGGGAATTAACGACGAGGTGACGACCTGACGACGACATACGACGACGAGACGACACGCACGACACAAAGACGGGTCCGGCCCCCCAGACACCAGACTATAAACGGGAACCCCTACGCATTCGTTGAAAAAACAATGGAAAAAATCATCACGTCTCTTCATTAGTTTCTAGCATTCCTTTGGATGAGTCTGGCAATCTTTAATCAAGAAATGAGTCTGTCATAAGTCCAAAGTATGAGTCCTCAGTCAGATCGTCAAGGGTCCAGTCGTGTCGGATTCCCCGGACGGGTTGTGCACCGAGCAGCGGATCTCACCATTGGAGAGTCCACAGGCCATCAACCAGGGAGACACCGCCACTGCAGTCACTGAGGCGTTGGGCAACTCTTCTTGTGCCTAGCGACAGTGACAAAAACCCGATTCCTTGAGTTGGTGAGGTGCTGGCAGTTGGATGGCCCGAGACTGCAGGGCACAAATGGGGCCGGGGCCGTCTTTCTGAATAAAAAGTAGACCCATGCGAAGAACAAGTCATAGTGCAACTGGTGTAAGGTAGCGATATCAATCCACTAGTAAACAACTGTGAAAAAGGAATTCAATGGTGTTGAAGCGGTGCAGGATGCTGTTCATCGACAGCATCATTAGCTGCAACAAGGCAGACACGTCATCCCTCTTCAATTTGAAATAGACGACTACTTTCTAATGCAAAACAATGTCAAAGTTGTCATCGAAACATTGCTGAGTTGCTAGCGGCTCAACACAGCCAAGACAGCCAAGCATGCACGAGAAGCTAGCAAGCCCACAAATTCAGGTCGTTTGTTCCATCAATTATCCTTGAGCTTCAGTGAACGAAAAGGAGAAGAGGAGGAACATCAACCAAAAAATGACTGCTTGTTAATGGTCCGAGCATGAGAAACCAACTCACCCCCACCAAGCTGTCATTGGGTGAACCAAGCCCAGCCTCAAATCCCGTCATAAGTGTTTTAACAACATCACGGCCAATCCATCGTCTCATGTCCAAACAAAAGCTCACCTTTCATCCTTCAAAGACTCCAGGTCACACGGCAAAGGGCACATCTATCAAAGGCAACACGGCCAAGACCTGGGCAATGTTAACTTTTGGGTCTTTCCTCGTCTTTTTTAAACAAAAAACCGTCCCCGCGACACATCAAACCTCAGGCGGCCCGGTTTGCCTCCAAGCGCAGGTCCCCTTGTAGCAGGCGACCCCAGAGCTGTAAACTCGATGGACCGGAGGTCACCACCTTTGTGAGGAGATGACCTCAATTGAGCGGCACGTGCGGCGCACGCCCGCCACACGCGGTCGGAACAGTCGCCGCGAGGGGCAGAACTGACCGGGCGACATATCCCGGGCGCAGCGTCCGATCGCTCCTAGTAGTGAGGCCAGGAGCCCCGAACGTAGCGTCCTGGCTCCTAGTAGTAAGGCCATGAAGACAGACCCGAGCTCTGGCCTGGTGCTGATTTTGCTCAGGTTGAAGTATGGACCGATCACTCTTGCGGCAGTTCGGGTAGGGTTATATATACCCCCAGATCAGGCGTTTATGGATGAGTGGACCACAAACATGTAGGCAACCTCTCTGCTTAAGAATGTGTCAACCATGAATTATATAGGTGGTATGGATTGCTCAATCAAAGAAGCTTCAATAATCTTGTCCCCTACCTCAAGTAAGTAAGAAATGAAAACATAACATATGATTTATACATATAAATATGTACCTATGCGATCCAGTCTATCTTTCGCCTCTTTTTCTTGATACTTCATCCCGTTTCACAGAGCTCCACCACTCGCTGCCACCACCGCGGCCGTGACCGGCCTGGCACCCCCTGCGCTGACCGCAGATCGCTCACCGCACCAGGGAGACTCCAGCAGGCGGCATCCGAACGGCCGTTCGGCTCGTCGAAGTAGGAGAGCGAGCGATCCGCATACAGGACCTTCAACGCGGGCAATTGGGCGATCGAATGCGGTTTCGGGCGATTGGGCGGTCGAAAGGGGTCGTGCTTCTTTCAGAGTTGACATGATTATATTTTTTCACGGATCAAATATCTTGTCAATAAATGGACAAAAACGTGAACAAATGGAAGATAGATCTACAATGATCTACACTTTAGTCAATACTACTGAAACGAATCCAAACAAGTCCGGGAGATGTGGCACACAGGGCATGTGAGGCGAGAGGGCTCGAGAGCCCTCCTGTCCGATGTCACAGCTACAACGTCACACTCCTTCCGCGTCCAACCTGGCCACTGCGAGCTACTCCGTCCTGGATTTTCCTGGCTTCGATTTGCTAAAAAAAACACACAGAAAATCACACACAGCCGTTGGGAGATGGTTGATACATTGATACGGCTCAAAATGTGTACCCCCGGCGTTTTCCCCCAAGACCCGCACTTGGACACGTTAATGTAGCTACTCAGATTTCGAGAACACTTCGGCTGCCCAAGGGACCCAAAGGCTGCCAAGCGCCGTGTTACTGGCGAAGCCCACAGCCTCCGCCTGAGGGCCATTTCCCAAAGACTCGAGCGTCCAAAGGGTGGTCCTGGAGCTTGTGAAAACGGCCGACCAAGGCGAGCTGCTCCCAGTCTTCTTTGAGTTTTGCCGAGAAGGAGCAGAATGTGCATATTCCATCTCATGTTGCTTTGTGCTTGGGGTGTTTTACTTCTTGGTTTTGACCAACTTCCCTGCGGAAGTAATTGGAAATTGTCTCAAAAGGACTGTATATTCACGTTCGTGAACTAGTGTGTTCTCCTCTGAAACAGCTGGAAGTCCAGGGTATACCGTATACATCCTAGGGCGTCTATCACAGACAGACAAGGTCCATTAGATTTAAATATTATAGTTAATTCTACCTGCGGATCGAGAAATGGGAGAACCGTTTATGGGCATCCTCCACCAACGCCGAAAGGAGCCTCCAAAAGTCTCCACCAACATAGATCAACTCAGTCTGCAATTTTGCATCCGTCTTACTTGCTCTGCATACCAACACACATCCAAACCACCCATGAGTTAGGTCGTTAGGTCTAGTCGTTTTCTTTGTTCCAACACTGCCCTGATTGAAACATGGACCGCGTTTCCCACTCTTTCTTCGCACCAGTCGTCCGGCGTCACCGACGGCGGCGTCCGGCGGCGCAACGGCTCGTCGGCTCGGTCGGGTCATGTCAGCGGCGTCGAGGATCTCCACGCGCCCCGCCAGGCCCAGCGCCAGGAGCCCTGCTGGGCCGACACGCAAAGGCCCTGCAAAGGCAGGGGCCCAAGCCTGGACGCTGATCTTCGAAAAAAAGGATCATCTTAAAAAGAACCATGGAAAAGCTGGAGGCGAGAACAGGGATAGAATGAGCGAGAAGTAGGGAAATGGTGAGGATTTCGCAGCCCAACCAGAAGCTCTCCATGCCAAAACACAAAAGGAGTATCTGGGTCTGTGTTGGGCAATCATGGACCCCAACTACAGTCTCCTGCAGAGGAAAAGTAGCTGAAGCCCGAGTGGTTGCAGGCCCGGAGCCGGAGCCCTGGATATCCCTGGCTAAGTTGACCATGTCTCGTTGTCTATTCTGTTCGTGTTCGGTGGGAAAAAAGAGGTGGCCCGGTTAAGTCGACCCCAATGAGATTTGATCTTGAGAACCCAAGCCCTGTATAGAGTCCCCATGCTCCTGACGTCAGGAGCGAACGCGTTCCTTCCGACCATTTCGGCCACCGGCCACCGTTCGCTCCAAACAAACACCGTATACCCTTCCATGCACTTGCACTAGTGAGCAGAAAGAACTTGAGACCACCACCACCACAACCACCACAACCAACACCACCAAACACCACCAAACACCACCAAACACCACCAAACACCACCAAGCACCAAGCACCACGACCACGACCATGTGACGTTCTTCTACATCAAGGCGCCAACGCGAAGGCTCGGCGCCCCATCTCTCGCCACGTGCCCGCGCCGGCGCCCAAAGACCCCGAGCTCGTGTCGCAGGAAGTCACACCCAAAGACCCCGAGCGCGTGACCAGGAAGAGGCAACTCTCCAAGCCTCAGTGTCATGTCACCTGTGTCACCTGTGTCATGTCAGCGGTGTCATCCGCTTCGAAAACAACGGAGCCAGGCTGGAGCCATCTTCAAGGGCCTTCAAGCCTTCGCCCAGTGCACACCCAGCAACCCCACGCCACCGCCACCAAGGAGTCCTCCTTCCTGCGGTGTTTGGGTGCTGGCAACTGGCGACCCAGCAGGCGCAAGGGGAGGCCCAGCGCTGCCTGCGTCGAGTCAAACAGATCTGGGCCGGCCTGAGTTGCAGGGTTCGAAGTCCACACATCCAATGAGGACCATGTTAAGAAGCAACTCCCTATAGCAAAAGGAGCAACTCCAATAGCTTCAAGCCTTCGACCAGTAAAACACTCATTGGAAGCTTGGAACGTCAGTGGCACAAGCTAACGGCTCAGTTGCTTGCTGTTGGTGGATTCTTTTGGGCGCAGGAACCGTTTCTCACCAAGGAATACTGTCAGGTTGGGATGCCTGTCTGAGTCCTTGGGATTTCTTCGGTGGTAGGGGATGCCCACGTGCGGACATGTGACCTGCACCAATTGAATCTGTGCATCATCGGCAGCACGTCCGTCCCAGTGCGGGTTCCGCGGGAGAAGATTGCTTCAACTGTTTCGAAAGAAAAAATCATGGTTCATTCCGTTTGATTGCTTCATTGCTTCATTGTTTCGCGAAAAATTAAAAATCATGCCATTTCCGAAATGGTTGGGAGGCCAACGTACGTCCTCCCGCCTTCATCCCAATCTTCATGGTCGCCGAGATGGAATCCTGCCATCAGAAAAAAGCGGCCCGTCCGGGCCGGTGCAGATGTCGCGAACGAACGGGAGGAGAGAAGAAGTGGGCATGTATATCATATCTGTGTCTGCTACATTACACATGTTTGGATACCAAAGGGAGGTCCAGTGAAATGAACAGCCAACAAGTTCTTTCTCCACAAAGGGGCAATAGGAATTTCATGACATGAAAAATGCGGGTGGTCCACAATCGTGATGATGCGGATATTAGAATATTATATAAGATGTTCTTTGATGTTCTTTGCTCTTGGCCGTAGAAAGTGCAGCGGACGAACAATTCTTCAGTCAGTTCTACTCATCCTTCGCGTGAGTTCTGCAACTTCACCGATCCAACGACCGCGCGCGCGGAACGGGTGCCGCGGTCGTTGGACGACCGGAAGACCGTTAGCCAGCGCGCTGGGCCCTGCGTGTTTCAGCTGCCATGACCATGCGTTGGGCCGATGTCCCACAGAATTCGAGCTACCCCTGGACCCTTCCAATCATTTGAAAGGTGGCTTAGAAATCACCCGGTGGAGAGGTTGACCACTATCATTCCACCAAAGGCTCAAAATCCCATGAGCCTTGAGCTTTTGGGGGAGCCCTGCCGGCTTCGGTATCTGTCTACACGCGTCGAACATGTTGAAAGGCTCACGACAAATCATTCGCAAGGAGTTCCTCTCTTTTTATTCCCCAAAACACCCACATGAACCATCAACCAGCCCCGAGAACGAACGCAACAAATCAATCCCCATCCACGAAAAAGAACAAGGCCCCAAACAAATCCATCAACGCGGTTTTCCTCGCTCCTGTCGCATCAGGGTCCAAAGCTTCGCGCCGCCGGGTCCCACGGTTAGCAGCAGTGCACTCTCAGGGGAGCCACAAATGTCCTGCCGGGCGCGGTTTTTTCGCGGTCCGGCGCTTCGCCAGCCACGTGACGAAGAGTTGGGCTTTCGAGAGTCACCCAAAAATGGAGTGTCCGGGATGGGTGAAGAGTTGGATTAGACTCGGGTGAAGAGTTGGGGATGTGGAAGATGTGGGGAGACACGTCCGAGGCAAGAAGTTGGAATTTGAATGGATTTGACCGTCCACAGCGAAGAACCATATTAAGGGAGGTTCGGGTGAGTGATTTCCATAGATCAAGCAACTAGTTCAGACTCCGATGCAAGGATGTGGTCAAAGACCTTGTTGGGGATGGGCACCCTGATGTTTGTCTGCGGACAAGAATTATACAAGCATAGACCCCAAACAGGTTAGTCAGTAAGAATCGTTGTTCCCTGCCTCGCACAGCAGCGTAAAGAGCACGACAGCAGGAGGACATGAGGACAACAGAGGACAAAAGATGAAGGACACAACAACAGGACAAGAGGAGGACTAGAGGAGAATAAGAGAAGGACAAGAGGAGGACACAGGGCTGGCCAGCACGGCCAGAGGACAACAGCAGGACGGGCCAGCGCGGCCAGAGGACAACAGGACAAGAGGAGGACACAGCGTTGGCCAGCGCGGCCGGAGGACAACAGCAGGGACAACAGGAGGACAAGACTCGGACACAGAGCCTGGACACGGGGCGCGGATCTTTTGCCTAAGAGAAAACCCCAACACTAAACTGTTTGGGGAAACAGAACCAGCCTGTGATTGCACCAATCAGGTCAGTGAGATCATTGAGATGCCAAAAATAGAAAAGACACTGCCAGCCTGTTGTTTACTGCCATGGCCACTATAGTGTGGCGATGCCTGTAGTGGCCGTTGACCTACATCTACTGGGAAGTGACATTTGTCACCGGGTCGTGCTTGGTCAGAAACGAAGAATAGACGGAATTCTACCTAAACTGTACAACTGCGTGCATACTATACCAATTAGGGAGGTGCTCATAGTACTAGTATTGATGAAGTATTTGTGAAAATTAAGGTCGTGAATTGACATTCCACTTTGAGTGCTCAGTTCACATAGAGTTGGCAGGAAAGTATGCTTTAGGGAGTCTCCCAACAACTTTCTCCCAAAGACTTTCATTGTCCCAACACCCACACCTTCCGGACGGAATCTTGCCCAACCTGAAATACACAAGACCTAAGCTACGTAAGCGACCCTAGCTTTAATCTAGTGTATATGTATGTGTGTGTATCCTCTCTGAATCACTGAATACAACCAAAATGTTCTTAGAACAACTGCGTGAGAGCTGGTGCTGCAGTCTTGGATGTGTCTGCTTTTTCAGAACTGCTTCTTCCAGAGCGGCCACAGTCCTGTATACCACGGCCACAACTGGTGCTCGCCAGGCGTTCACCCGATGGCCAGGACCAAACAACAAGTTGCTGCTCCCCTGGCGCCTGACTCGTTATGTGGGACGTGATGACGTGGGAGGTGGGACTTGGATGAACGAGGGAAAGGGCTTCTTCTGTCGGCTGACTCATGGATCTTTTTCATAAGACTTTGTCAAACCAATGTTGAAGTGAATTGAGGAGATTGACCGTGGAAGGGTATTGGGCGAGATTCATCTCTGATTACTTTGGCAACTGGAAATCTATATACTTGTTTCATCCTTGCTCATGAACCTCCAGCTGCAGCTTGAGAATAGGGTAAATCCGCTGTTGAAACCACCGCCGCTTGGGTCTAAATCCCAATTCATGAGCCTACGCAGCTAAGCTAGCCATCAAAAAGATCTTATATAGAGAAGGAATAGACTAAGTTTTGGGTAGCTCCCTGGGGGAGTAGCATACATGTATATATATATATACATATCATATATATATACATATCATTCATATATATATATATATTATTGTACACACAATCACACCGAATGGGACCCATTTGCAAAACGAGCCAGGCCTGTTCTGACTCAAACTCCACCACGGCCGCTATCAACTCACCGTTGGCGGCCCAGCAAATGTGCTTGGCCGTGCGGCGCACCCCCACGGGCAAAGAGGCTTCCGGTGCTTTCTCGCAGCCCATGATGATCACCTGGAACAGACATGGAATTGGAAGAGCACGCGATGTCTGTTCAAGCGTGCTGCGCGTTTTGCACGAAACCTGGTTGTTCCCGCCAGTAGTTATATGCTTGTACGCAAAGACTAAGTCATGCATGTCTCAGTATAAGCATTGACAATTGCGAAACTGCGAATGGCTCATATGGTCGCTGCTACATGGACACCTGTGGTAGTGTAAGCTAAGCCTCCACATGCCAACGGGACAACTGACGGCCCGGATCCTCCTACTCATTTTGACTGACTCAGTCAAGAGGTTGGTTGGCCACCACAAAGGCATTCTGCCAGCTAGTCTCCAAATCTGGCAAATCCTCCAAGCCACAGTGAGAACTGTGCATGTTTATCTCATCAGCCCCAACTGCGAAAAGCTTCCTGAGCACCACAACCTGCGTGTTTTGTTGCAACAGGTTGTGACTATGTCTTCACGTGAACGGTTTCAGCTGCCCGCGTGACTTCACGCGAAGCTCCCTCGCGAACCTCGCCGCACGCCCAAACGTAACGTCTGTCTCGCCTGCCCCGGGCGGCCGCCAAAGCAGGACTCGCCGATGGCCCACCACTTCCCACAGGGCGAGTTGGCCAAACAGGTCAGTGGCCGGGGCCTCCAGCGAGCGAGCTGTTGTGGAAGTAAGAAGAGGTGAATGGGTTTTGGACAGATTGGCATCTCAGGATGTCTAAAGTTCTAAAGTCCTCTAAAGTCGCAACCTCCAAAGTCATAGAAGCTGCAGAGAGAGGGTCAAACATCATTTTTGGGACTTCCAATGTCAGCATGGGGTTTGGCCGTTTGTCTTGTCAGATCATGCCTGTGCTCCACTTCTTCCAAGAAGCCGTGGGCCCAACTGAAGTTGTTGATGGCCCTCCAGTGTCGTCTCGAACAAACTTCCACCGCTAATGCCTCGACCAACAGCCCCGTACGGCCGCGTACGGCCCCGGCACCGAGACCGAGGCGTGCAACGGCAGGGGATTCTCCATGGGATTCGCCATGGGATTCGTGGAGAATCAAGAAAGACTGTGAGGTCAAAGCGCCCGGTGCGGCACGGCATCGAGCTTTTCTTCGGGGGGGTCGCGCGGGTGCGTGGATTTCATGGAAGCCCAAAAGAAGAGCGAAAGCAACAACGTGGCGGGTGAAATCACCCAAATGATCTGCTGCGATGGATACATCATTCAAGTGCCGAAACAACAGATGCAGAAACCCAAGACTGCCCCTCGATCATCAGCAAGATTGGTTGAGTGCTCACATGAAGTGACAGTCGACTTGCTCCTCAGAGCACAAACACCACCAAGAACATCCCAAACATCATCCCAGGACAAGAGACCCTACCAGTCAACTCCCCACCACCCACCCAATCGAAGACTCGCAGCCATTGAGTTTGGTATGGTTGAGTCTAAGTATTCTCTCCTACCGAAACAAGCGGCCCATGACCGAAACATTCTTACTTCGACACCACCAACGACACCGCAGCAGCGCCAAGAGGCTCAGCAGCGACCCATCGGCGCCCGCCGCGAAGGAATGCCTCGAGGCCAAGGCCTGCGGCTGCAAGCTGGCCATCGGCGCCCAGGCCCCCGGGAGCGGGACCTCCTGAAGCTTCGCTTCCGATCAATTCGCTTCGCTTCCATTGGAAGTAGAGAGGGAAAGAAAGAAAGTCGACCCTGAAATCCTCCCTGAAGTGTTTCTCTCGTATCTACTTCGGCATGGGAACAATGTTGGGCGACATAGTTCTTGCCACAAGTGATGCACCTCGGCTCCAGACCGTCCAAATCCCTCAACTAGGAAGACCAGCCGGCGGGTGTAAGTCTTCAGGGGTTTTAGATGTTCATGGGTACTTTGCTCCTATAGCAATGACACGTGCCTGATCCCTTTTGAAACCTCACATGGACATGGACACCCCTCGTCGGCTCCCTCTCCTGCGCTGCAGCGGCATCTCCTCAGGTGCTTTCTCTTTCCGATTTTTCAGGGGTCCTCGAGAGCCCTGACGAATGGTTACCCCAACTACTCTCCCAAGCTAGACCTCGTAAATGCAAGCAAGTATCATGTCAGCTAGTAAGCTAGTAGCTCCACCAACACGAATGTTCACAAGACATATCACACGGATCCAATGTTGGGCAATCTCTTGACTTGGGTGAACGGCCTCAATCAAAAGTGCCACCACGGCATGTGAGTCTCTTCCGCCGTCTCAAAGACTTAAGGATGGCGGTGAAACGCGCAAGAATTCATCCTGGTTCACCTGAGTCGCCCTACCCAAGCGGCCTATGCTCTACTCATCAGACTCTATAAATTTGACCATGCATGCATGAAGTGTTGTTTTGACTCAAAATGATGCATACACGTAGGAACCCTGATTGGCCCTAATTCAATCACACGACAACCAAATCCTCCATAGAAAGGCATGTTTTCCCGCATGTAAGCTTCTCAAACACATCACTCAGACCGAGCATCTTTGTTCATCTCTGACTGCGAGTCTTGACCGTCCATTTATTGGAGGTGATGGGGACCTGCGCCGTCCGCCATGATACATGCCGCAGTGGTCTCTGCGGCGAGGCCGCCGCGGAAAGCGGGGCCTCTGTGCTCTCAAAGCAACATGGCTGCAGGGCCGTGGCACTTGCACCAAGTGGACGTCGTCACATGGCTCTTACACCCCCAGCTGATACCGAGTTCACACCGAGTGATCAGTGATGAGTAAATGACCCGACAATACCTAACAGTTTTTGGCCAACAGCCATCAAACGTCAGAGGGGGCGCATCATAACACGAAAAATCACAAGCCCAAACCTCTTTATACGATTTATCTACTCTTGCGAGCAAACGGGGAAGTCCAACTGTTTGCAAACACTTGCATTTCCACCCTAGCACCTGGATTGTGCATGTGCACGGCAGGCAATGAGCACTTTCTCCTGCCACATTGGATCGCATTGAAAAAAAACTTGCAAATGAGCTGGGTCCTTCGAAATACGCTGCACCCTGGCTACGTAAAGCAGTGGTTAAAAAAGAACTTGAGTTCTCATGGTGGAGCAGGTGCGCCTGTCACATCCAAGCTCTCTCGTCGTTCGCTTACCAAATGCTTCGTAGTTCGCTTCCCACCCAAGCTCTTTCATGTACAGTTCCAGGTCATCAAATGTTGACAGACTTCACTGAATTGGCGGGGCGGTGCTTCAAGAAGACTCTGTGGTCACCGTCCATGCAACCTCAAACATTTGTATGCACTGAAAGTGATCGGCGTCCGCGGCGTGACCGACCCGCCTTTTCCGCAGCAAAGCGCGCTGCCAAAGCCTCCGGCCCAGTGCCTCAGTGATGTTAGTCTGAATGACTGCTTCAGGAACAGGAAGGTGTTGACCCGCATTAATGGTTCACAGAGACAAGAAGTCTAAGTCAGAAACAAGTCTATTCGTGTCCCGCTAGGCCCTATTCGTGTTTCTGCATCCATGGGTCCATGAATTAGGGGCTCACCTAAGCAAACAGAACTCTCGAATCCAATTTCAAAATCCTCTGGATGTTCCCACAACAAAAAACACCCCACTTCCGTCCGTCCCTCAACGAAAAATGCAACGAAAACGGTGCCGAACATCATCGCCCCATGGCCACCCCGGTCGACACGTGGCATCTCCGGCGACCGTGGTGCCCACCTGCGGCACTCGCCTCGTGGGCGACGCCCGCGGAACGCCGCTGGAGCTCCGCCTCGCAGGCCAAGGCGACGGCCTGGCCGCGGCGAGCGGGAAGGAAGGTCCGGTCCGGGGGCAGGTCCGGGGGACGAAGAGATGAGGCTCATCTGAGGTGAAGATGAGGCATGACAGCTTCAGATGGACAGCTTCAGATAGACCTTACCACCTCGGATAGACCTTGTTGACGGCAGATGGACGAAGTCTGTAGACGAACTTGGCTGAGTCGACCGAGTCATTTGCTCAGCTTGTGTCTTTCTGCATGAAGGACAAAAGAGCAGGCAGAAGTCCCTCAAAAAATGCAACCAGACATGTTTTAAGGTAAAAGACACGTGCTCGGACAAATCTTCTGGGGCGGCCAGAGAAGGGGCTCTCGCATAGAAAATCCAGAACGACCTCTTCGGAAGATGTATTCATTGAGCAGTTGCAACATGCAACAAGCGCAAAAAGTGTGAACTGTCTTGATAGATCCTGATTTCGGAAGGTGACACGTGAAAAGGAAGCTTCTTCTGCTTCCAAGGAAGCAGGTGAACCTGCTGCACTTGGATTTGCTGTCCAGGAACCTGGACACCCGGACCATAAAACATCACCTCAAGCAAAACTAGGTGTATGATTGAATCTCTTGACCGCCCACCCTCGCCTTCCATGCCATGTCCTCCTCTTCTGGGCCTTCACCGCCCAAGACCTCCAGCAGCCTTGCATTGCAGGTGTTTTTTTGCGCTCTGGTCAAGTGCTGAGGGGTTTTGGACTTGGAAGACATCCATTTAATGATCCATCTCTCCCTTGGAATTCGCAAAAAGACCCACACCCTCTCGCGGGTGAATCAAGCAATCTCAAAGTCAGTTGCTCTCCCTGAAACATGAAGCGGCCAGTGAAAAAACATAGCATTCAATGGTATTAAATGGAAAAAAAAAGAAGCAAACCTGAGGGTGTTCAAAAGCTCCCATACTGAAGGGCCAATGACCCTTCAAGTTCACCACAGAGGGGACACTGACACGATCTCCGACGAAGTGACTTGCCCTGAAGAGAAACAGCTCATTTGAGTCGAGAGTCCATTTCAGAACACGTGGAAGCTCATTTGAGTTCTCATCTCACGTGAGAGTTCTCATCTTCAGATCTCCCGGTGGTCCGCCGAGCATGTTTCGGTTCCTCTATCCCCCGTCCCCCGCCTCTGCATCGACTCTTCCGTTGGGCCGGTCCGGGTCAGTGTCACCTGGTGGAGGAGCGCAACGAGTCGAAGACGACGAAGAAAACGTGTCGACGAAGACGCACCGGGACGGACAGGTACGTCAAGGACATCTCAAGTGTGTGTTTGTATGTCACCCACATTCCCAATCGGACTTAGCAAGTATCCTTATATACAATACTTGCTAAGTCCTCAAGATGGCGTTACATGAGATAGCTTGAAAAGACTTGACAGGGCGACGACGTGACACTTGACAGGGCGACCCGTTCATTTCAGAAACCCAATCGGATCATATCGGATCAATCTTGACCGATCCACCCATTCTTCGGGCCTCCACGATCGCATCCGTGGCCACGTCCAAGTGCTGTAGGATCTCCATCGTGTAGGTGTCGTTGGCATTGTCCCTGCGACGGTGGGCATCAGTGGAGCGAAGCGGCAGCGGAAGACCGACCGACCACTCGGACAGTCACAGAGTCGAGTCGCAAGACCCCACCTGAAGCAAACACTTCACCTGTCGCACTTCCCCACTTTCACCAAGCACAGTCATCGAAACGACCACGTGGGCCTTTCGACAAAGCCATAGAACTGCAACAAGGTGTCGTTGCTTCGTTGCTCACCATAGTTGATGCAGACCTCTTCGCCTTCCTCGCAACGAGCCACAGGAGGACCGCCCAAGACAACCAAGGATGTCATGTTTCACCTGCACACCAAAGAAGACGGGCGCTGTCTCCAAAGAGGAGGCCCCAAAAAAGAAGTTAAGAAAGGTTGGATTTGTGCATAAACTGAAATGCAAGACAGCCGGTCAACTGCACAAGCGTTGAAAAGAAGATCAAGAAGCCATTTCACCCTCCCCTGCAGCGCGGGCGGATTTCACCCTTCCTCAGTACTGCTGGTGCCGGCGAAGTCCACGACCGCTCCTGGAAGCTCCCATTGACTCGGACGGCGAAGGCGTCTGCGAAGTACTCGTAGGCAATGTCCGAGACGGCCGAGCTGTCCTGAGATGAATCTCTTCGTTCGTTCGTGAAAAGGCAGGAGATGCGGGGCCTCCTCTCCATTGGAGAAGTCCTTTCGTACTCCGTCTCCCCGGTTTGGACGAGTCCTGAACAAACCTGGGTGTGGGGTTTTGACCCCACCGGCAGACCGACCGGTTTGTCCCACAGAAAATGAACAGAATGGGCCGCCTCCATGGTCCACCTACATCCACCTACCAGGATTCTCCAGGTCTTGCTCAGAGAATCGGTTGAAGTCGACGGAAGTCCAACGACCAGACACCAGCTGGAAACAGCTGGGCAATGTCACCTAGCCAACCGACCTCCACGAATCGTGGGCCCTTCAAAAGTGGCGTTCTAGACACTAGATTGGGTCTTTGAAGCCAAACACTTCTTACTCAGGTCCGGTAGGAAGGTACGAAGGTGGACCTCCAATTCCCCACGCTCCAACAGCGCCACGCTCCCAGCGCCCTCGCGCTCTCGGGACGTCACGGAATCCCAGCGGTGGTGAAGCACCAAGCAGTCATCCAATTATGGAGCTTCGCAAGAGGAAAACATGTAGGGCCAGAAACGGCGCGGTTTTTACATCAGGTCAGAGTCGCCTGCAAAAAGGCTGTCGACCTTCAGGGCGCAAGCTCATCCAGAAGGGGTATACCTGGATCTTCCAACTGTGCAGAATTTCTGCCGTTTCATCCATTAGATCAACCAAAGGGCATAATTGTTGCACAGTTGGAAGATCTATAGGTATATTATATATAGGGGATCCCACCAATTCACCCACTTCCACGGCAAAAGCATCGTGGTTTCCTACGACCTGGCCGGGAAGATGTGCTTTCCCTGCACAGTCATGCCAAGCTGTCCGCCGTGGTGTGAAAACCCACGCTGTCCAGGCTTCGTGGTTCAAGTAGTCCACGACCGGACACATCACGTGCCTCTTCAAGGTGGACGTCCTGAGCAAGGTCCCTTTGGGCCGTGAAACAATAAGAAGGGTCAGCCTTTTAAGAGCTGGAAAATCCAAGCACCACAAAAACATACTATCTACTGCACGCAATCTGACGCATGCTGCTTCTCCAGAGTACATTGGTCTGCAACAAACCACCCGCAGCAGCATCATGTTCCACACTGTGCGCACGTCATCGATTATAAGCATGGAAGTTGCACATCAAATCAACCTAGAAAATCCATTTGGTTCCGGCCAAAGTTCCTAAAGGAGACTGGAGGCTATAATCCTCAATAGGTTCCTAGGCACCCCCCCACCCCGAAGACGATCATTGTTTCAATCTTGATCGTCAGAGATTTGCATCCCGGTAGATCAATTGCTAAAGCAAGGGGAGAACTCAGGTAGCTGACGCCACGACTCTGCAGACCTTTCCGTTTCGATCTTTGGATGGGACGTTGGAGATTCAACATAAGGCAGGTCGAGAGTTCTCGGCTGAACCACCTCTGCCGCAGAAATCCGTCAAGGGATCCAAATTCTCACATACCAAATATCTGATTCATTCATATTTATTCTGGGAAATGCCCACTCGACACAAGGTCCCGACACAATACGCATATGCTGCTGAACAAGGTGGACCTACTGGAAGCCCCATGTCACAAAAGAAGTGCACGGCTGGTTCACCCTTGCAAGTGGTCTTCCTGATGTTTTATGCAGATATACTCCATCAGCCCAAATATCCTGCCCAAGGTTCTGTCCAACCAAGAAATCCTGAGAGGCAGAGTTGCAAGCAGCTTGAGCTGATCGAATTTACATGGAAGAAATCCTGCAACACCCGAGATGGGATTCATGATTGTTCTTCCATCAATCATAGAAATCCATAGAAATCCTCTGAGTTGTTCGCCAAAGATCAATTCCGAGGTCATGAGTCATAAATGCGTTTTGAATGTCCTCGTAGGGTCTCAACATGGGATTCAAGGTCAGTCTCATCCGTGCTCAAAACACATTTACAAGCCCATGAAAGAAGTGCAAAATCCTGATCATGTTACGGACTGAGCAAAATCTTGCTGCTGGGGAGTTGTTCATGCGATTCATTGTTTGCAATGAAATACCACACGAAGCTGCATCAACCGAAAAGTACTATAGATGTCGGGTCATATGACTTGTCACCTTAAATGTCTGAGAATCGTCTGAGGTGGTTAGATGTCTTGCTGGTGTTCATCCGCTTGAACGACCGGTACAAGAGCTCGTTCAAGCAAGTTGCATCTTTGAGGTGATTCTCTGTGCATTGAACCTCCTTCCAAACCGGTGTTTTTCATTTCGTTGCTTTCTTGCTTTCTCTCGAAACCACTTAGCCTAAAAACACATGACCACAGAAATACATCTGTCTGTCTGTTCTGACTGGACTCAGAAACGACCACCGACCTCACGGGCCCTGCGCTACCCATAAAAGGGCTGAACCCGCCGAAGCTCGCTGAGGGGGATGGCGACGGCTGCAGCCAGCGCGCCGTTGAGGCCGTTCTCCAGCGACACCACGCCCAAGCCCGTGCTGGCCGCCAGCCTCAGCTTTTGGAACGCCAGCTTTTCGGTTGGTGAGTCGTTCGCATGAGAAACACTCCAGCGATGTCACAAGAGAGAGAGAGAGAGAGAGTGGTCTATCCTTTGAATTGCTCGACCTGGATCTGCCTAGCATGAGACTTCCTGGAATTGTCCAAAATATGTTTTAAATATATGCGTTCTGAAGTTTGGCAGGAGGTCGAGTTGGACCAAATCCCATCAGGTTCCTACTGGAGCATGGCTTCGTCGATTGCAAGGAGCTCAACATCTTTCACACAAACTCTGCATCAGACGCTTGAAAATCCTAGTCTTGCCAAAAGAAGGGGCACAGAACAAATTATGCATGTTTGTCCCATCTGCATGTGCAGAATTCAGAATACCTGTTTCAGAGGCACTGGTCTCTCAGAAAGCGGTCACCATCTTGTTCTTCTTCCTTCTCAGAAAGAAGGACTGGTCTCTCTCTGGTCCAAGCAAAGATTCACTTTGAGTGAAGGACTTCCCACCGTTCCTCTCTCTGGCGCTCCGTTCGCCAAAAGGGAAAGCGCCACCGCCACGCCGGTGCCACCGTCCGGCCACGCCCGCGCGCGCCGCGCGCCCGCTCGAGAGCGCGGCCAGTATCGGCTCCAAGCCACAAAGCGGCGATGAAGGCCAACTGAGCCACGCGGTCCTGGCCCCAAAGTCCCACTCCAAGAAGTCTCGGCGCGCGGTCCATTCTCCATTTTTTTACTATTACTGCCATTGGCTGTGCGGCATTTTTAAAAGAAAGAAGAGGACTGTTTTCTTGGAATGGGTGTCTTGATTTCTGTGAGGTATGCCACTATACCTTGGGGAATTGGGAGTGCAGTTCCAGTGACAGAAACGTTTTTTTTGAAGTTCTGGGGCAGCAAGGTTCATATGGTGTAGACCCCAGAACTATATTATATGAATGAATACAAATACTTATAATATACTTCCCCTTGTGATATAGATACTTCCCCTGCTCAACGGAGCTCCGTTTGAAGTATCTCTATTAGAAGGTGAGCAGGTGAGACTATGTCAACCTTCGCTGAAGATCAGATCTGACCCGTCCGGACGTTCCGGAACCCATTTCAGGCCAGTTGTGTTGCTGTTGCTGTTGAAGCACCGGATGTCATGGACCCTTTTTCACCAGAACCACCAGCCCAGACCCATCAGGATCGATCCGGAGGACACCTTCAGCTCACCAGGTGGTTCATGGTGACTGCGGCAGGGCCAAGTCTGTGTCCACTGTGACTGCTGGATCCGCACTCCAACAGAGAGAGACCAAAGGACAGCATAACAGAATTACATAGAATTATCTAAGGGTTGGACTATGTCAGATTCCTTGGATGTGCGCCGTGCACTCTTTTCTTCAAAGATGACCCAACTTCCTGCAAAAAGCCTCTAGCCCCACTCTGGAAACTGACGGATAGAAGCCTGGTTTCTCCTTATTTAGTCCAAACAATTGCGTGTCGCCAGCTGCACACAACTGACGCATCAACCTATCATGATGCTCAGACTCTGGCGAGAACCCTGAGTGAAACCCTGTGATCATCTTGTGCCTTCTTGGCTGCACAAACCCTTGAATTTAAAATCGGGACAATAGCAGATCAATCAACCATCATCAACCCCAGCAACCACCGAATTCGACCGGTAACGGAACCGGTCGGCGAGCGGGAAAGACCCCCCCCGACCTGTGGCCCTCGGCCCTCGTAGGGCCCAGTGAAGGCCCGGCTGCGGACGGTCTGCACCGCCCAGGTGAAGTCCGCCTGGGCCGAAGCTGGTAGCTTTCTCTAGTCGAACGGACATCAGAAGGATGTGTTCAAACATGTGAAAACTGAGTATGTGAGCTTTTCACAGCTAGAAGATGCTAGAAGGGTCCGAAATACATCATTACATTGGAGTATATAAGTCTCTGTCCTTCCACTCTACCAGCAACCATTTCACACGAACTGGAACTGGGTGTCTGCTCGCCTCGCTGAAGGAGAAGCGAACTCCGTTCGAGGCCTCGAGAAAGGCTGCAGAGACCTCCTGACGCTGCTTCTCGATCCTCAAAATGGCCAAGCGGCGAATGGCCATGCTACCAGTAGCTACGTTCGTAGCGTCCTTGCTCCGTTCGTAGCGATGCCCTTTGCTCCTAGTAGATTTAGTAGATTCTTGTTACTGCCTAGCAGTTTTTGGAGATAGGTCGAGCCCGAGTCGAGCCCAGTGCCCTGAGATGCCCTGAGGTTCAAACCCTCAGCAGTTAGCACCAGAAACCAAACTCACGGTGAGAGATGGGCGGCGAAGAATCCTTACTGTAATTGTTGGTTCGATCCCTCCCGGTGATGGAAATCGTTGGACCTTTAAGGCCTTTCATTCTGTTCAGTCTGCATTCGGGCCGAGATGGGCTACCCGGCTACCCATGCTGCACATGGCGTGTTGGGCTTCATGCGATCTCACAGACGGAGGCTCTGGCTCAGCAAGGGTGAGTACTCCAGCAAGGCCAGCTGATCTTGCGTCCAGTTCATTGGGATCTCCTGTGCTGTCTTGGGCTCAAACCAAGGGACGCTCAGGTTCTTTTTCGAAGGTTCGCTGTCTTGGGCTCAAACCGTCAAACCGCTTTACCCTCCCCCAAAACAACAGCCTCCACGCTTGGGGCAGCGTAATCGGGCCAAAATATTAGAATAGAATCAATAAAATATATTCGACGGGGATCAAAAAGAGAAAAGGATCCAATAACTCCCAGTGAAAGGGAACTAGGGAAAGGACCACAGCAGCAGGGCGACCCGAGATGATCAGGCAACCCTTTGTTCAGAGCAAAACCAAAACACAAAATCCCCCTCACACAGAAAAATAAGAGGATGGACATCTTGGACATGGCAAAGGTGAGCCCTATATGGCCCTATCATCCACCAGAGGACCATGAAAGACTTAGGCGAGGCGCAGCGGAGCGCGGCGCGGCGCAGAGCATTGGCAAAAGTCGTCCGGATGTTCGTGAAAGCCACCAGCGATACGCTGAAAGGCTAGCGTCGAAAACTACACACCCTCATTGCCCCATCCATGAAGAGCATCCAGAAAGTGGCACTAACGCTTCTAAGGCAACCGAAGCGCGCTTTTTGACCCATGGACCAAAGGACTATGGGACCAAAGGACCAGGGGACCAATGGACTAGACTCTTTTTGTTGATCCCGTGATTCTTTTTCGTTCATACTGCTCTTAGTTTTGTTTGGTCTGGTTCTTACTTTTTCAATCTAGATGCCGGGTAATTGTCAATGTCACGAACTTTGTTTGTACACGGATCTTCTTCCTCCACCAGTAGGTTGTAAGAATGCTGCGATCCATCCCCGTTCATACGGCTGGAATTTTCTTACAGCCATGGACTTCTGGCAGAGATTGTGCGATGGGTTTCTAGGGGAGTTGATCCAAAAGAGATAGAGGACCCCGGGCCTGATGTGTGCATCGAGAGGTGAGCCTTTGTCTCTGAATGGTCTCTGAGGAAGCGCGTGAGGTCTTCAGTCAGCGCTCTGCGAATCAATTGAACCCAACGTTCGCCAATTGTGCTGTCGAAAGTTGAAAGATTTGGGAAGCCAACGTTTGCCAATGTACATAGATTCAACGAGAGTTGGCCGGTCGTGGTCCTCATACGAAGCCCAGCAAACGATCCAAATGTTTACGTCTTCCACACACCGGCCCTCGAGACCCCCGACCGGGCCCTCCAGACCCGGTCCTCGAAGCTTTGAGGCAAACTGGCACACCACCCGGCCAGGTGAGACCCCGGCTGCTTCGCCTGGAAGAGGCTAGCGGCTGCCGTACCCCATGTGGGAGTACTACTCAAGAGGACTTTTCTATGACAACAGTGCACCTTCAGCATGCACCAACAGCCACGGCCGAATCTTGTTGCCCAATGGCCACCTGCTGAATCGTGTAAGGGATTGATCAAATATCGCCCCTTTGACTTGGCCACTTGCTCTTCTCTGACTGACCCCCCCCCCCCCCCTCCTTCAGAACCAAGATCGCCAGCTGCGCCCACCAGGGAAGCTTCTGCCAGCACTCTGGCTCCACGAAGCCCGGGCTTGCACCGCCGGTTGTCACCTCATCCGCAAGGAGCTGACCTTGAAAAAGTCCTCGAAACAGCACTGAAATTCAGCCAATCTCCTTCCCCACAAGCAAGTCCTGACATGCTCCCATGATCTCATAGACAAAGACTCTTCCAAGTGATTCAGGATCTTCCCGACTTTGAATTGACCGCTGGGCATCCCAAAAAACACCTGTAAGTCTGTAAGATGTCGTCCTACGATAGCCCATGGTATACTTCGGCTCCACACCATGCTCTCCGCTCTGCGAGGCTGAACGCCTGAAGCGTCCGGTCAGAGGGCACCGTGACGATGGCCTCGTCGTTCGAGATCTCTGTAGTGCATCTCATCCTCAGAAGCTGAACTTGTTGAAGCTGCAGCCGGACAGTTGCCAACACATCCGTTGGATGTGGAAGATGTCTCATGGCAGGAATTGGTCAGAGATGTAAGGCTGCATATGGAAAATGAACATACGCATTACAAGGTGGAGTGAAATGGTCAGAAAGGGAGGCGGGGAAAGGGAGTTCATTGGCCCACTGAAACTGGAAGTAGGAGGCTTCCTGTCCATCTACTCATTGAGGTCGTAACCCTGCCAGGTGGTTCCAAGCTACATTTCCGGGCGGAATGAGCAAGTCAAGTACTGTTTATATACATATACGCTTATAGAGGTGTTTCACAGGGTGTCCCCAAAGCAGTTCAATCGAAACTATTGATTGAAAGAAGATTGACCTTCCCCATGCCGGAACCAGGACCTTTGGCCCAGTGTCATATTCGTGGTGACCATCAATCCGGGAGGATCCACATCTTAAGTGTAGTGTTCAAAATCCGTGCGTAAAAATGACAAATAGTCGCCTCTCTTATATGCTGAGTAGTTAGGTATTAATTGACTGGATCAATCTAATCTTGGATTTGCTCAAGGAAAACGAAAAAAAAACTTCCCCAGAAGGGAATTTACCCATAGGGAAAATCAAGAATAACCTCAAGCAAAACCAGATAATACAATGTAATACAATTGTAATACATACAAAAATAGGTTTGAACAATGGCACGATGCGTTTTGAATCGCCACAGCTACCTACGTGCCGCACGATGGTTGGAGCGCTTTCGGGAAAACCATCCTCCAGTGCCATCCTCCGCTGGAGGAACCCCTCAAATCGAGTGGCCGAGTGGCCCCCGTAAGTTGTTGCCAAAGGCATCCTCGAAGGTGGTCAAGTCCACCTTGAAAAAGCCGCCTTGAGCGGCTTTCAGAGGCTCTGAGTACGCGGGTGGAAGCATCTGAGAAGGTGGATGGATCATGTCAAAAAGAAAGTCGGGGGCTGGAAATGGCCGTCGTAAGTGCTCAACATGGTGAGAGGATTGGATCAAGCACCGTGGCGACAGCGGCCGTGGCGACCGTGGCCTTCGGTGCGTCGATGCCCAGCTCCTCGGCCCAGCTCCGCCAGGCGCTGCGCGCCGTGCGGGGGGGAGCGGCGCCTGGGGAGGAGGGAGCCCAGAGCGAGCTGGGCGCGAGCTCACGGAGCTCGGTGCCACTTAGACCCAAACCAAGAAGGAGTGGTTGGGATGTGTTTTGGATGTGGTTTCAATATGTTTCAATGAGGTGCAAAGACCAAAACCACACGTGAAGTGCGATCGAGATATGGGCGGCGAAGTGTAGGAGGCCGGGAGCATGAATCACATCAAGTCACCTTCTCAAGATTCCATGTTTCAGTGTGCCTCACCGTCCTGAAGCAACGAAGTGGCATTCCGTAAGGAGCAAAAGAATCCTGGTCAGATTCATGGTTAGAGAATTCCCTGGTTCGTGGTCCTGGTTGGATTCATGTGTTGGTTCCCTCCTGGTCAAAACGACTGAGAGGAACCCCTTCGACTTTGGACTGCACATCACACGCGAGAAGAAAACTATGCCGGAGTTCGAGTGTCTGGTTCAGCCTCCGAAGTTTAGGTCTTTGGACGTCACCAGGATCATCTAAAGTTGCCAAAAGCCTTTTAGCTCCTAGAAGCAGCTCAACTCAGAAAGGAACCATTAGCTCATTAGCATGGGTGGCTCCGGGTCTGTTTTCCGCACCACCCCTCTTGTCCGCCTGCGCCCCAGCGCGCGGAGCAGCGCCACCGCGCCCAGCGTCACCGCGCGAGCAGCGTCACCGCGCGAGCCGCACCCCTGTGGACCGAACCGCAGGGTGCGAACCTGGCTCCGAAGGGTGGAGGAATCCAACGGTGCGTGCGAACAAAAGGCCGGCCGGCCCAACAGGTCCAGAGTTTTCTGCGGTAGCTGACATGGGTTTGGGGGGGCTCTGGCAGGGGAAATCTTACGAACTGTCTCTGGCAGTGTCGGTGGGGGGGGCAAGCTTTGGATGAGACAGCCAACAGTTCTGAGGAAGTTTGTGGTACTTTGTCTGAGATCGGGAAAGGTCAGTAGCCACAGCCCTTCCACCGCCACTTTGAAAAAGTTCTGGTCGGCTTGGTGCTGCACTTAAACACAAGATTGATATTGAGTTCCATTGGGTTGAATTTCGTTGGACCTATACTGCGCGGATGACTTGGCCTTTAGGCAACAACTTAATAACAAAGCAAGAAGTCCAAAGGCAACGGACAGCCGCAAAAAAAAAAGAACACACAACAAAAACACATCAGAAACTGAACACGATAGCGAACACGCGCCCAACCGGCATCGCCGGTCTGCGAAGCTCTACAATCTATTGCCCCAGAATATCTATCTACTTGAGCGGCATTATCCCATCATGCGAAAAAATAAACCATCACTTCATAAAATCAAGTCTCTCCCATCCTCTTTGGCGAGAAACTCTTGACGGTCCATTTGGTCTCCGAATATGCTGAACAGTGCCAGCACGCAACTCCATGGCAGTCCAGTCACTCAGATGCTTTTCTTTAGCTGTGCACAGTGGCGCCCACCATGTTCAAAGTCAATGCTACAAAGGCGTCGCAAAGATTCGAAAATTCTCATTCACACAAATGAACTTCTTCTCATACAAGTCTCCACAACTTGGCCTTTCCGGTCTTCCTTGTTAGGTGGTGATGTTCTGGTGGGGGAGGTTCTGCCACTGGCTGGCTTGTCTGTAATTAGTAACTACCATCTGGTTTGCTGAACATGAGAACCAACAAGAGGCAGGAGTTGCAAAACACACAAACGTCTCTGTGTCAAAGCTGATCTGTTCACTTTCCGCGCGAGTGGGGCAGTGGGGATGTCTGAAAAAAAATGGGTTATCCCTGATGTCTCCATGTCCGAACGCCACAATCATGGCGTTCCTGTCCCATCGACCGCCTTGTCCCCTGCCATCGACCGCCTTGCACCGACCACCGGGAGCGCAGCATCGACCGCCAAAGCCCCCCGTCATCGACTCGCGTTGTGGCGGCCGGGAGCAGCAGTGATTCGTCTCAGATGAGTCAAACCGGACATGGAATCGGGCGCGAAGCGCACTTGGCGGCGTCCCCCCCGGAGAAAGAGAACAGCCTATGGGAGCGATCAATGGATGTGTCAGCGCCGTGGAAATTGGGTTCCCAGCAAAAGCCCATCTAGCTAGTTCAGGGATTGGTCCAAAAGTTCGTGTGTGATTGATGTCCCTGGAGGCCCTGGTTGCTTGGTCGAACTCACTTTCGCCCGCAAAAAATACCAAAAAGACCATGGTCGAACGAAGGAGCTGTCGAGAGCGAGCAGAGCAAACGAACGAAGGAGCAGTGTCCACTCCGCGGGATGTTTGATTCTATCAACATCATTGTACCAGGACCATCCTGTCTGGGTATCCTGTCTGGAGACCCAGACAAGTGTGTGTAGGGTAGTCCAGCCAGGACACCCAGACATGGTGGTCTTCGGGATCCGGTGGAACTCGTTTCCTTCTTCCGACAGCAGCTGTTTGAGCTGCGGAAACCACCAGGGGATCGGACGCACGGACCACTTGACCAGGACCTCCAACCCGTGAGATGCACCGTGAGATCCAACCGTCCGAAAACCCGACCGGCGGAGCACCCCGAAGGGCCCCAACGGCAGGGCTCCCAGGTGGCCGGGCGCCCCCGGTAGCACTGCGCCTGGTGACCCGGTAGCGCCGCATCCCGTAGCTCTGTCGCTTAGAGGCCAACAGTTGGTTGCACTCCCACTCGGACAGCCTGGCGACGGAGCGCTTGGAGACTGAGAAGTTGGTTTTGTGTGTGTGTGTGTGTGTACGGAGAAAGGACTCCTAGAAGACGCATCTCCCCACCAAAACCAGGGCACTTTCCATTGCCTCAATGGTCACAGCAGAGTGTTCTGAACTGGTAGCTCAAACCATTCTGATCTTGGTCGATGTTCATCCTCAAGTTGGAGGATAGTAATCTCCAGCTTTGCCAATCTCATGCTTGACCTGACGCCATGCCTAAACCCAGTGACGCCTTGAATTCGATGATCTTCCAATTCCACTGATTTCGGTCAGGTTCAATGTTACGATGTGTCTTCAAAAAGGGGTACAGTTCCCAAACGTCCAAATTAACAGAACCATGTCGCTTCTGGCTGTTGCGCTGGACAGGTCAGGAGAGGGGAGCCACTGGCTGGACAGGTCTGGGCACGTTGGGCATCCAGTTTCATGGACCTCATCTAGGAAGGATAGTGCATGCACTCCTGCTCGAGCTTTATCGATGAATCCGGGTTTGGGAGATGAAAGCATGCAACACCAAGAAGTAAAGAAAAATCCAGCGAGACACCTGACATCTCATCCCTCTGAAGTGGCTGTTGAGATTGGCTTCCTCAACAGCCACCTGCGGCTTTTTCAGCAAAAAAACACCCTAAAAACGGCGTCAGTAGAGACACACTACGTGTTGGCTCAGGCAAGCTTGCCGCTGGGCAGTGAAACGATTCCGCAGATGTGAGCCTGCCACTTACGCAGAAGAGAATCGACATAAGAGCAAATGGTGCATTGTCTGAGGAAAGTTTCTCTCTCGTGAAACAACTTCTGTTGATAAAGCGGTGGGAACCTCTCACTGTTGTGTTTGATTGGTGGCACACGATCTTCACTAGAAGCCCTTCTCCGGTCTTGAGTCCTAAAGGTTTTGTCAGCTCACAATCTGCTCGCTAATCAAGGCATTGTTGGCAAGCTTTGGTCAACTCACCCACAAGGTTGTGCAGACATGCAACTTCATACGCTCAGGGAATATTTGAAACCTGCTTTGCCAGGTTGGCTCATGACCTTCGCTGCATCTCGAAGCAAATCCTTTGCAACACATATCGAGAAAATTAAGAAGTCGCAGACGGGGCTTTAAATCCTGTGGATTGCATCTGCTGACTGCCAAAAGATGCAAGGACTCTTCAACATGCACAACAAGGTCAAGAATGTCACCAGAACAGCATTGCACACTGGCTGCTTGCTGCAAGCCTAGCAGCCTGTGTGATTCATCAGAACTGGTCCAAGTCGCTTGCAGTCCCTCTCTCTCTCTCTTTCTCAGT